GTCTATGTGCTTTGCCTACACACATCAGCAGCCTCTTGCGCACACACACACAACATCCGATGTCCTCACAGGCCACAGGCAGGGGCTCCAGCCATCGAGACCACATCCTTTCTCCCTGGAAGTCTCCACAATGGGGTCAAAGATCTCTGAGTCCTAGGCCACATCACTGCCCCCACAGTCCTCTCACCTGTGGCTGTCTCGGGTTGCTGAGCTAAACTCACTACCCTGAGGCCCGTGGTGGGTTTGGTGGTGAGATGACCCTTAACGAACTCTGAATGTGGCTCAGAGGATGTGCCACCAACGGCCTCCGGGGAAAGTTCCCTCCAGGTCCACTTTCCCTGACACCTCTCCTGCTCGCCTGTGCTCCAGGCAGCCAAATGGGCTGCTGCCCTTCATTTCATGCAACGGAAGTGGTAAGAACGACTTGTGTACTAATCACATTTTGGCAACTGTAGTTGTGCTTTTTTTAATAACCACACTCGTGGAAGGGCACACACGGGCACGCCTCCTGTGAAATGCCCCCCCCCCCACTGCTTTCCCACCCTGGCAGGCACTCTCCTCATAGCTGCTTTGTCTGAAACATCAGATTCACTCATCTCCCTCCTTCCGATTCTTGCCTCCCTGCTGCCCATTTTCCAAAGGCAGCCAGAGGGACCCTTCTGAAAACTGAAAACTAAACCCTTCTGTCTGTGCTGGTCCACTTCTGTGACCTCTGCCACCTGCTGTTCCCTCTCCCCAAAACACTTTTCCTGCACAACTTCCTGCTGGCTCTGTCTTTGATCTACTCTATGGGAGCTAATGCTGCCCCCAGGCAGCTGCCCTCCAGCTCTTGACCTCATGGAACATCCCACGTGGCGTTCAGTGCTTACTTACTGCCTTAAACGCTAACTCCTGTACCCCTCAAACACCCCATGAGAGCAAGGATTCCACCTGATTTGTTTACTGGTGAACCTGTAAGTCCCAGAACAGGGTCCATCACAGAGCAGGCAGCCAGAAAATACTTGCAGATGAGACAGAGAGAGGTCAGGAAGGGAGGGAAGGGAGGTCCAGGGTCAAGGGCAGCAAGTCAGGAGGCGGGGCAAAGGGGAGGACCATGGACAGGGAGGGCTGGGGCACAGAGAAGGGTGCATGCAGTGAGGCAGAATTTGGCGCAATTGGTGTTTCCCTAGGTACAACCTGGGGTATTAGAACAAGAAACTAGTGACAGAAGGGAAGGGGGACAGGAGAGCAGAGAGAAACCATGACAGTGTGCAAATCCCACCTCCAAAGAACTGTAAGAAGGTGCCTGAGTTGGGCCGGGCAGAGCAACGTGAGGCTGGAGGACGGAGATGCTCTGAGCCCTGGAATAATACTTATTTTGCTATTTCCAAGAGATTTTTTGAAAACAGTTCAAATCCTCAGAGTGGGGAAAGCAGAAGCAGCAGTTGACAGTTCCAAGACAGAACAGGGCAAGCCCAAGGCCCTGCGTACAGGGACGCACAGGAGGAAGGGCTAAGAAGCACAGACACTGGGGACAGAGCAGCGCAGCGGGGCGGGATGCCTGACCCCTGGCCAAGGTGCAGGAAATGATAACCAGGTGCCTGGGCTGCCCAGGGGCCCAGGGGAGGGGTGGGGCCAACTTCAAAGAGGGTTTGTTTGCACTTGCATGGGACAGGGCAGGACCCACGTCTATCGGGTGACCGCTTCCTTTTCCAGCCACAGAACCTTCCCTCGACCCTCCACACACATAAGCTGAGCTCTCGTGAAGTTTCCAAGGAAAACCTACTTTGGCAAAATCCCAAGGCAAATACGTGGCAGATGAGAAATGCCCTCAGGCCGGAGCTTAGCATGGCTCCGGGCAGTCAAATGTGCATCGTGTGGGAAAGACCTTCCTTGGAATAATAAATGAAAAGGATGGCAAAGGATCTGAAAAACCTAGGATGTCCTCCAAACAGGCAACAGAGAAACGAACCAGAGGTTTCCCAGTTTACTCGTCAGAAATAAACACGACAACACACGGAGAAGTCCACATCTCACACACAGATACACGTTTGGAGTGTTCCCTGGAGGCGTGAGGCCAGCAGGATCTGACATCCCAGCAGTGGGGGACAAAACTATACCCACGTCTTCCAGTTTGGGGTGTACCACTGGGCACAACAGGACACAAGGGGACTTCCCCTTGGACCGAGACTTGGAGACAAGGCCGAGCGCTAAACTAGCAGCACCTGGCTGCCTTTAGGGTCCACCCGGGTAGATTATTCTACTGCCCCACCATGGCCTGGAAGCATGAAGCTCAAGCACTGAGACGCCTGAACATGACACATGGGCGGCGGCAGTGCTGGGCTTCAGAACTCTGAGTTTCCTTTCTGTTATTTCTGCCAAATATTAGGAAGGGGATTTCCAGGCCGGCCCTGCACCATTAGCATAGAGTGCAAAAAAGGCAACGTGAACAGTCCTCCCGGGACTGTACAACAAAATGCACCCTCTTGCCTGCGATCAAGTCATTCTTGGAAGTGTCACACTCCCTTGTTTCAGACATTTATAATGTCCACTAGGGCAATAAAGCATCTCAGAAGTCCTGTGACAATTTTTTTTTTAAAAAAAACTGGCAGCATGCGGTGGCTCACACCTGTAATCCTAGCACTCTGAGAGGCCTAAACCGGTAGACTGCCTGAGCTCAAGAGTTTGAGAACAGCCTGAGCAAGAGCTGAGACCCCATCTCTACTAAAAATAGAAAAACTAGCCAAGTGTAGGGGTGAGGCCTGTAGTCCCAGCTACTTGGGAAGCTGAGGCAAGAAGATCACTTGAACCTAAGAGTTTGAGGTTGCTGTGAGCTATGATGCCATGGCACTCTACCCTGGGTGACAGAGTAAGAAGACTCTATCTAAATATATATATATATTAAAAAAAAAAAAACTTGGCTTAGTCTTTATTTTCTTTTTTACCTTTTTAAGGCATCTCTCTTTCAGAGAATGGCCCCTAAGATCCCACAGGGTGGGGGCATGCAGATTGTATGTAAACTTCACCATCAGTCGCAGAGACATTCTCACAGCTGACTCACGTTTTGACCCTGCCTAGGACTCTCACCACAACTTTGAACCTGTGTTCAGAAAAGTCTCCACACCCAGCTGCTTTCTCTGTAATGTGACCTTCTGCAGAAACAGTGAGTACGTCTATGGGTCTCATGACCTTCTACAGAAACATTGAGTACATCTATGCATGGCAGACCAACATGATGACCACCTCAGGCCCCTTGGACATTGCTTCTCTAACCAGGGTGCTCACCGTTCAGCTTTACTCTGGGACAGGAGCAGAGTAGGAGGGGCCCACACGCTTCTCATTTCGGAGACCAAACTAGCCCTGGGTGGAGTCAGCTGGGGAAAACTATCTGGCCCTGAGCAGACACTCATTTATTCATGAAGAACCTCATCTCAAATGCCATCCCCCAAGTCCTCACGTGCAGAAGAGTCCGGTTGCAGTCACGTTCCATTGCCCCACCGCCTCTGGATTGCAGAGTTAATTCTCTGCCTGAGAAACCCATTTAAAATAAGCACCCATACCTTAACCGTGCTGGAGAGAAACTGTTCACGGATGGATTGTACACAGGTCTCCCTTTGAAAACTGAGCACAGTGATCTGCCTCAGCCCATGTTTGATCAGCCAGGATCTGATAGATCAATTATTTATGCACCAGCACCTTGAAGCAAGCCTTGTAAGGCTTGTGGGGCAGGATGACCCTATAGCAAATGGCCCCAGAGGTCCCGGCTTGATGAGTTTGGGGAGTGTTTTTGATCAACAATCTCACTAGACAGCACAGAACTACCAAAAGTTGCAGAACCCCCAGAAAACCCAGCTCATCGGGACTCTGCATAAAGCAAAAGCCAACAGTCTCTGAGTAAGCAGCAAAAGATGTCCCTGGCGCTGAAGTGTCTGGAATTTAGTACCTGGTCTTTAAAATAACTACTGTGGCTGTTTTGAAGCTTTTTTTTCCCCCTTACTTCCTACTTCTTGGCTGGGTTCCTCAGAGTTAATTTTCCTAAATAATTGCAATTTCAGGGTATATCAGATGCTACTGCCTGTAAAACGTGAGGTTGGAGCTGGGAACGACAGGCAGAGATCAGCTTTTCCTTCTCCTATTAAGAAACTGCAACCACTTGTTTTCTGTTTCCTGGAGCCTCCAGGGAAGGCTGCTCTGCCTGCCCCACCCTCTCTGACCTTCAGCTGCACCTGCTGGTCCCAGGTGAGTCTTAGCAACATAACTGGTCCCTGAGATCCCAGGCCAGTGCTGCTCACTGAGCCCACCCTCTGGCCCGGCCCTCTGCCAGCAAACCCGGGCACCTACAAACTCACACAAAGCCCTCACTGCCCTGCATCCTATCCTTGGCCCCAGCAACCCCCTCAGCTGGGTTCACCACAGCGGAAGCCCACTGTTCCCTCCCATCAATGTGTGGCTCTGTTCCCCCCACCTCCCACCCCCCGCCATGGCAGAGGAGCGCCCGCAGCCTGCCCCGCAAGCCCTTCTGATGGGGCTACTTTTCAATGAGCAGCCTTCTTCCCGGTTCTCCATCCCCCTCCCGCAAATACACAAAAGAGGGCTCAGAGAGTGGGGTTCTTCTGTACAGGAATGAAAGGAGGTTAGCTTTCCTTCCTTTCTGTTTTCTTGGCCTTGGTCTAAATTTGGCAATTGTAAAGAGAGTGGAAGCCCTAAAACGGATCCAGTTCATGACCCAGGAGGCTCTGCTGTGGCCAAAACCACCCCCATCTGCTTTTTTACTTGGATTGTTGTAGGGAGGGCATCTGAAACTGTCACTGCTCACCCCCAAAACTCCTGCTGGGAAATAATTCTTGCACAGGGCTGGGGGAGGCCCTCAAGGTCACGTTATTCAACTCCCTTAAATTAAAACGGGGACCCTGTGGCCCAGCGAGGTTAAGGAATTAACCCCAGGCCACGCAGTGAAAGAACATCCCAGGGGATGTATCAGGGAACCGTCCTCACGGGCACTGAGAAATTCAGCATCTTACCATCATCCAAGTAGGTCTGGTCCAAGTTCTGTTCCTGTTTAATTGTCACTCCCGCAGGTAATACTTCCTTTTGGTCACTGACTGGGGGTCCGTTTTTGGCGGCTCTTTGGCTTGTGGCGTTCTGCTGCTGAATGACGGTGGGGTAGGAACCTGGGCTGAGCCTCTGACCTTGACTGACCGGGGGTGGGCCGGGCCTAGGGGTGCCGGGCGCGAAGTTCTCGCAGTACATGATGTGTTGGAACTCCTGGTGGCTCCCACAGCGCAGCTGCTGGTTGGTGGGTGAGTAGTGGATAACGGGCGAAGCCTGCTGGTTGGCTGGAGAGGAGTGGAGTAGGGCTGAGCTCTGGCCCTGGGAGCCTGTGTGCACCAGCACGGAGCGGTGGGCATCTGCGAGGGGCAAGGGTGCACCCATGAGGGCCGGCTGCTGGTAGCCCAGCAGACTGGGGCTCAGGCTCTTGCTCCGCTGATAGAGGACAGCCGCTGGGTTCTGCTGCTGGTAGCGGGCGTCCGGGGATGAGAGCCCCGAGCGGAATTGCTGGCAGGGAGCCATGGTGGCCACAAGGCAGGAGGGGGACTCGGCCACCATCGGGTGCTGTGGGTAATAAGGCTGGCTCCCCAGGCCCCCATGGGCAGGACTGCAGATCAAAGTGGGATCGTACTCATCGGTGGGTTCTGTCTTTATGGCTGGGACTGCAAGGAAAGAGAAGCATACGGGCACACCCATCGCAGTGAGCCATGGATGTACACAGAGGATTTGCAGACAGCAGCTGGCTTTGGGGGTCCACATGTCTGAACCCAAACATCTGAGGCCTGTCACTTATTAGCTTTGGGCAACAGGGTCCATGTGCAACTATCTTTGGTAGATGTTACCCTGGCCATGTTCATCTTGAACTAGGGGTTTCTCCAACATTGGAAAAACCAAGGTCAGGTCTGACTCAGTAGCTGTCAGGTAGCTGTCAGGTCTGACTCAGTCCCCGAGGTGCTTTTGGCCTATTTCTCCAAGGTGAGAGCTCAGAGAAGGAAGTTTGATTTGAGACCATGCCTCCCATCTCCCCCTACCCCGGCAGCTCTCATCTCCCGTCCCATGTGTTTCTCTTTAGACCACCCGTCCCTTTCTAGGTATGTTTTATGTGCTTTTTTACTGTTTGTAACACCCACCCTCTAAATATCAATTTCTCAAAGGGGGGAGTTTTGTCTGGGTTTTGGTTCTCTGGAACCAAAACAGCATCTGGGACTTAACGAGCCCTCAGATATTCTCCAGACAGAGGAACAACCAAACAGTGGCTGTCCCCTTCCTCAGCTCTGTAGAGCTGCAGGGGAATGAGGACTTCTGGCTCAGGCCTCAGTTTTCCTACCACCTGGCAGTAACAGTCACACCCTTTGGGATTGTTGAGAGGATTCATTAAGAGGCATTTACAAAGCACTTAGACCAGTGACTGGTATACAGTAGGTGCTTAAGGCTTGCAGTTGCTGCTATTATCTTACTCCATTATTATTACAACTACTATCCATGTGGTCACTGTTGCCATTCCTTTCTCCCCGCCCAGCACCAACCACTAAAATTGGTCCTTTTCTGATGTCTGTGCTAACATTTTACCACCCCCTAAAAATGAGGAACAAATTTCCTTCTCCCTAGAATAAGAGAATTGAGACCAGGACTGTAACCAAGTGGGCAGGGGGCCTCCAAGTGTTGGGCATTGGAGGAAGCAAGGAGGCCCAGCAGGTCTGATTCTAGCCACAGGAATCATTTCTTGAGATGCCAAAGGCCGTCCCTGGCCACCTGGGGGATTAAAGGTTGCTTGTGTGGGCCATGCTCAGATAAGTGCCAGGACCAGGCCACAAATAAGAGGAGAGTGTGCCCTTAAGTGTAATTCAAAACCTCTTTGCTAAAAGGGATCCCTGGGTGGCAGTCTAGAGCCCTTCCTGCAATTTCCTCCTAGTTTTGGGTCCCTCTGGGCTTCAGTGATGCGATCACTGCTCCAGACAGTGTGTTAAGTCAGACCAAGGATGATGGCTCCTTCGAAGGGGCCAACACAAACCCACAGAGGCAGTCCATGGGAGCCAAGGCCAGGCCACCCAGATGTCCCCTTGTTTTAATGCTCTCAGCAGCCCAGCAGCTTCATATAAAACTGTCATAGGACAGAAAATGTACCCTGGGTGATGTTCTCAAATTATAGGTTTCCAATTTGGAAAGGTGGCTAGCAAGTCTTTCTCAGCCTGGGAAGGCTATAGTCTTATTTCCCAAGGGAGAGCTCAAAGAAGCATTTTTAAACTTAAAATTATACTCCCCCCTGGCTATTCCTGTCCACCTCTTCTGCAGCCCTAATCATAATCCAGTGTAGCAATAATCATCAGTATAATCCCCCCCCGTTAGAATGTCAGTTCCCTTTGGGCAGGGATTTTTAACCTGTTGTGTTCACTGCTGTGTCTACAGGCTGAGAACAGTGTCTATATGCAAATCTCATCTGGACAAATGAATGAATGAAAAAGGGTCACATCACCCTTCTTGGGGCTGATAATGACTCTGTGAGAATGAGACCTGCTAGGCTGTCACATACCCACTCACTCCACTTGGCCACCAGGTGACAACCCATTGTGGAGTCAAGTAAAGATTCTGTGGGTTTTAGGATTTTTACTCCTATCATGATCAAAATGAAGACAGGGACAGAGGTCGTCCACTTAGCTGCTTGACACTCTGTATTCACATGTGCCTTTGTCCCCTCCCCTGAAGGAAAACATGAATGGTGATAATAATAGTCAACATCATTGATGCTGGCTTGCTGTGCACTGTATTAAGTATTTTGTGTGCATTTAATTCCTGTATCTCTTATAAAGAAGATGCTATCTGACAGATGAAGAAACTGAGGATCAGAGAGATTGAATCACCTGCCCAAGGGCACCCAGCTAGGAGCAGAGCCCCACACCTGTACCACCTCTCGACATTGAAGAAGCCATCACAGAGACACCTTACCTGGGTGGTACGTAAAGTGCTGAGGCTGACTTCGTTTCCTTTTCCCATTGATGACGTAGAAGTTCACCTTTACGGACGTGCGGATGTGCTTGTTTCGATATTCAGGGATCTCAACAAAAAGCATGTTCTGAAAAGAAGGAGTGACCTTAACTGCAACCAAGTCTAAATTTCTACCCAGGCCCTAAGCACGCTCCATCCTCCTGTCTGACGGGAATCATGCCACATCTGCAGGCTTACAGGTAAAATTTAATTCACGGGGAATCTCACTTTACAGTGACAGCGAAGAAAGGCACTCTGTCAAGGTCACTAAGACATCACAGTTACAAATCAGAGGACCTGGTGCTCAATAAATGTTTAAGTCCCTTGGCGATTCAATATGTACTTACTGAGTACCTGTGAGGGCCAAAACACGGGGGACTTGGATGAAGGAAGGAAGAAAGGAAGGACAGAGCACAAAGGAAGGAAATATGACAGGGGAGTCACAGACAGTCGGCAGCCAACGGTCATCCCGTCTGTGTGCTTACAGGCTGGCTCTTGTCTTTATCCACCGTGGCTTCCATCTCCCAAATTTGCTGCCCATCTGGAAAAAATTAAAAAAGCTCAGACTTTGAAGGAGTCATTAGAAACCAAAGATTTAAGACAAAAACTCAACAACTTCTATGTGTCATGGCTTAGGTATTATATCATTTCAGTAGAGTGTGTGTGTGCATGTATGTGCATGCGTGTATATATTTATCTTGTTTATATACACATGAATATTTTTTTCCCAAAAGGAAGGCATGTTGACAATAGAAAAGTAGGCAATGAGGGAGACATTAGAAAAAAAATAGAAATTGCCCAGAATCCTACTGTTATCTTTTCTTCTCTGCGTGTCTATAAAGCTTTCTTTCTTAAAGAGCAAAAGGTATTTCTGCCCATTATACTTTATTATATACTTCATTCAACCAAAGGCTACTTACAAAAGGTCCTGCAGATGCCAAGCCTAGTATAAGGGCTCTATTTCAGGTTCTTAATTGAGAACAAGGGTGCCTTAAATATACTATCCTAAGTTAAGAGGGAAGCCGGTGTCTCAGCCACCGGAGTGCCTTGGAAACCCAAGAGCTCACTCTCCACCTTTTCGTCAACAGCCAGCCTGGATCTCGTGTGAGTCACGATGATGATGGATGAAAATGTTTTGCTCAATAGTGAACTCTCCTTCCCGGGAGCAGAGTGCTATATTCCCCCAGTTTGGGGCCAGGAATTTGGGCCAAACAAAACCTTGCATTTGCAAATAATTGATTTCTCTCGCTGACCACCTACATTGGCCATTGGGTAGTTTTCAGCTGAAACAAATCATTTCCACAAGTATTTCCAGGGTGTTTTGTGGAACACTGATTCTGAAGGATATTAAATGGTTTTATGAAAAGGGGAAAATTCTACAAGCTAATAAGCGTTTGGAAACTGCTGAGTCAAAGTCCAGCGGGTTTCTCTCCTGCAGGACTTCTCAGGGGCTTTAATTTGTGCACGTGCAGAGAAATTCTTCAAGGGAGGCTAGACTCGGTCTCAATATTTGACCAAAGAACCCCTCCTCACGTTTTAAGCCTGGCTGTTAACATCTTCAGTGATAGCTTAGATTTGAATCATGGTTCCTAAGTTCACTCAGAAGTCTGGATTCCAAGCATGATTGAAACTTAACAGTTTCAATAATTGTATGGGTAATATTTGCCCCCGGAAAAAAAATAACAAAAATTCTTGTGATCGCTACCAAAGCCATTGCCATCTAGGTGAACTTAACAAGGAACAAGCAATGAATAAGCCAGAGTCCCTGTGACAATTAAGTGTGCGAGTCTTGGCCTCTCAATTCTATTAGGTGCCAATTCCTGAAATGACTAAGGAAGACATGGCTTATGTCAAAAGGAAGGCGTCGAGGTGGTTAAAGTACTGACTCTCACTGTAGTGTGAGATCCCTGTGCTGGGTACCAAGTTATACCTGCCACCGTCCCCCCAACATCCAACACATTGTAGGGCCTACTAAATATCTCATGACGGAACATGCAAAACGGTCAGGGGCTCCAAAGGCTGCTGATGGGGCCAAGACGAGGCCAGAAGCTAACATCAGACGCTGCTCAAAAGGAAGCAAGAAACTGGACATAAAGTCAGAACAGGAAGTCATCAAGATCTGGGTCCTCTCGGTTGCAAAGCTCTGGACAGAACTACTTTGGAACAATCCTCATTTCTTTATCAAAGGCAGGTCAGAGGTCATCCCACAGAGGCACTGTGTCCCCTTCTCAGAGGAGGTTACCACCAGGAGCATGGCTGTGTGAGCTGGTGTTATTCACTAGCTGCAAGGGGAGCTCTAAACCAGAATATCGAGTGAAAAATGAACAGAGAAAACAGCCACGGGCTGGTGTTTGGTCTGTCAGTTCTCACCCTTGGCCTCTCCTTGGCTGAACTGAATTCTGCCACCAACAGCATATTTCTGTTCATAGGAGCGTCACTGCTTTGAAAAGAAAGGACCATTTAGGAAGGTCACATTGGGGAGGAAAGGGAGAAAGGAGGACCTGGGAGAGGGGTCAAGAAGTTTTAGCAGCGTCCATAAAGCTTCCATTAGGCAGCAGAGAATACGAAAAAGGATGTCACCGACAGGAGGGTTCAGAGTCTCCTCTTCAGGTCTAGGGACCCAAGAGAAATGGGAAGGATACCTTTCCCCCTTCTCTGATGTGCTTACATAGGAAACAACTTTCCCAATGGCCATAGAATTCTAGCGTACAGGCCCTTGAGAGCATTCTTAGAAGTCAGTCCACCTGAGCTGGGCGCGGTGGCTCACGCCTGTAATCCCAACAACTCACATACAGCCCAGGTATTTGAGACTAGTCTGGGCAACAGAGCAAGACTGCATCTCTATAAAAAAATAAAAACTCAGCTGGGCATGATGGCATGTGCCTATAGTGTCCCAGCTACTTGGGAGGCTGACAGAGGAGAGGATCACTTGAGCAGGAGTTCAAGATTACAGTGAGTTAAGATGGTACCTGCATGCCAGTCTGGGTGACAGAAAGAGGTCCTGCCTCTAAAATTAAAAAAAAAAAATCAGCCAGCCCCACAGCCTACCCCTGTTCCAGCCTCTCCAGGCACTGTTCCGAATCCTAACTATTTTGTACATTCGCTTTGTGGCAAGCATCCCCCTAAGCCCCTCACAGACAAGGTCTTGTCTTGTCCATATGACAGTACTAGGAAGCAGGTCTCACCCAGGCACAGAGGGGTGAGTGCACTGGTGAGGAAGTGGGGGAGACAGACTTGAACCCAGGCAGCTCCTTATGTGGCTTCAAATCCCTTCTCCAGTGGGCGCAGCTCCTCTGACTGCCTCTTTCCCCCGAGCTCCAGCCTTGAACAAACAGGATGCCCTTGGGACACCCCCAACAGTGGGCAACAAGGGAGGCCACACCTGCCCCCTCTAGTGTTCTGTCAGACCTTGCATGACAACGTGGACTATAACCCTGAGCCTTCTGCTACTCAACACTTGGCCATTTCATTCCCATGTACCCTAAAAGCCAAGCAGACAGACCCAGTTTTAATCTCTGATGGCCCCTAATTATCTGTGTGATTTTGGATAAGACACTACACCTCTCTCTGCCTCTTATCCAAAATATGGGGATATTCAGAGCCCCCGTACCTCACTGGGTCATTCCAAGGATCAAAACAACAGGCACAGGCATGGCATAAATGCTAGACAGAGTGAAGGTCATCGTTATAGCTAGCAGCAACCGATTATGTAAACTTCACTTTGAGGCAGCACCTGTGGCTCAAGGAGTAGGGTGCGAGCCCCATATACCGGGGGTGGCAGGTTCAAGCCCGGCCCCAGCCAAAACGGCAATAAATAAATAAATAAATGAGCAAACTTCACTTTGTGAGGCCAGGCACAGTCGCTCACACCTGTAATGCTAGTACTCTGGGAGGCCAAGGCAGGTGGATCACCTGAGCTCAGGAGTTTGAGACCAGCCGGAGCAAGAGACCTCATCTCTAAAAATAGCCAGATGTTGTGGCAGGTGCCTATAGTCCTGGCTACTGGGGAGGCTGAGGCAAGAGGATCTCTTGAGCCCAGGAGTTTGAGGTTGCTGTGAGCTACACTGACACCATGGCACTCTACTCAGGGTGACAGAAGGAGACTGTCTCAAAAATAAATAAATAAATAAATAAATAGATTGCTCTGTGGGGTTTTTTGCATATATTTTACAGTGTGTTAATTTTGAAGGGAAAAAAGTAAGCATTTTTAATCAGAAAATAGTAAACATTCTCTGATTGCAATTATTAATTTTTCTGGCTGCAGGGAATCTACAAAAGGAAGGCGTCTGATGTGAGACTGTGTGGTATGTTGCCTGTTTTTCTTTTCAAAAATGGGTCTTTTCACCATTAACTTGAAAAACATGAGAGAGGGAGAGACAGAATGCTGGCTTAGTGGAATAAGATATCAACACCTAACCCATGGGCTACAGCCAAGAGCTGCTCTTGTTTCTCTTGTGCTCTTTTAGGTATCAGAAGGTCAAGGGCAGCTTCAGGGACCCAGCCCGGCCTGCACACTCATGTAGGGTCTATACTCTGGACCAACAAGTCCCCAGCGGGAAGTGAAAGCCCACAGCCAGTGTCCTTCTCGATTTCATGCAGCACGTGGATGACACACTGCAGGAGGCTGGTCTCTAAGGGAAGTGTGCGTTTTTTTTTTGTAGACTACCTCGAGGCCATTTTCTGGGACTTTTCCTACCTCCCCCTGCAGCGGCTGGTACATGCGTCCTAGGGCTCGTCTGGGAGAACACACTCACCCCACCCTCTGAGTCGCACTCTCATGAGGCAGTGGAATTCAAAAGAAATGCTGGTGGGGTCCTCTCAGCCTGACCTCACTCTGCCCAGGTACAAGTCCTCTCTTGGTCATCTATCAGCTGTGTGGCCTCTGAGTGGCGGCTTATCTTGTCTGTGTCTCAAGTTTGCTCTTTGGCAAAACGGTCAAGTTAGTATCACTGACCTCAAAGAATTGTGGAGAGAATTAAAATAGATAGTACATGTGAAATGCTTAGCAAAATGCCCAGCCCGTAATGAGCACTGCTGTCATTATTATTTTAGAAGTTGGAATGTCACGCTGGTCCAACTCTAGAAAAAATGAATTGGATGTCCAATCTGAGCCAAGTATTCTACAGGGTATCAAAGGTTTTATTTCATTTTCATTGTGTTACATTTCTCATGGCAAATAAATAAAATGGCCATAGAAAGTATTCATTGAGAGGGGATCGGTTGGATTAGTTATGGGCCATCCTTCATTGGTACAGAATATCAGATATATTAGGTATTAGAATAATAGACAGCTCTTAAAACAAAGTAGATGTAAATTTTCTGAACTGGAAACATGTCCCTGTTGTATTAAAACGTAGATTTTTTTTTTTTAATGTGCTGAAGACCAGTATGGAGAGCATGATGTCATTTATTATTAGGGACCATGAATAGGTCTGTCTGAATGTAGGGAACAGTGCCCCGAGCTACCCCTGGGTCCATGCTGACCGTGCTGGGCCTGGACAGGTGAGCTGAGCTCTTCGTGTCTCTCTTCACTGATTCAAG